TATTCTGACAATATAAGATCTTTTTTATTTTTCATTTTATAAACATAACATTAGCTGCGTTGATGGCGCTTAAAAGAAAGAAACAATATGAAAGTCAAATTGAAAAAATATCTGGAACACGTATGACAATGGAGACACAAATGATGGCAATCGAGAGTGCAAGTGTAAACTTGGAAACTATTAAAGCAATGGAGAAAGGTGCTGAAGCGATGAAGACTATACATGGATCCATGTAAATTTATGAATTTATTTTACAAATATAAATATATATTATACACATATTATATAAGTTTGTTTATCATTAATGATAACTTTTAATTTAGGGATATAAATAAAGTTGATGATACAATGGATTCTATACGTGAACAAATGGATTTAGCTGATGAGATTTCAAATGCAATTTCTGCACCAATGCTTGGTGCTGATTTAATAGATGATGTTGGTTATCTTTTTAATATTTTTGATTTATTTAATTATAATTATGGGTATTTTTAAAATTTTATGGTTATGATTAGGATGAACTCACAGCCGAATTAGACGAATTAGAACAAGAAGTCCTTGATAGTCAATTACTTGGAGCTGAAGCACCACCATTCATAGCACCTAAAGTACCAAAAACTGAATTAGGTAAAATTAGTAAAACTTCTTTTTTTAAAAAATTAATAGTGACTATTAATAATGTTATATTGTTACAGTGATAGAATCCGAGGAGGATAAAGAATTAGAAGAATTAAGAGCAGCAATGGCTTTATAAATTTATAAATATAGAGGGCGAGGAGACAAACAAAGGAGAATATTTATTGATCATGATTTAATGCAAGTTTATTTAATAAATTTTTCATTGAAACGTTAATTATAATTATCATCATAATCGTTTATTTATTATGACAATTTGTGTGATAATTTATATATAAATTTTAGAGTGATATATTTACAATTAAATTGATATAAAACTAGTTAATATAAAATAATAGTGATATTATTTGCCTACTTTAAGAGCAAGTATTTTTTTTAGAATATCAAATAAAAGTC